TGGTCTGTAACATTTAACAGTTGTGATAATTTGGTTGCATACTCAGTGGGACTTTTTACTTGAAAATAAAATATAATACTTCTCAATAAATACCCAGTTTAGCTTACAATAATTATTATTAAACGTTTTTCTTGCTATAATATTAATAATTTACTAATTTTATTGTTAATGGCCCAGTTACACTTTTTAAATGAACAATTGAGCAGCAATTCAGTATTAATAATAATTGTACCTACTTAATGAGTATTGTAATTCAGAAAGTAATTAATATAAAAAAACTCTTTTTGTCCTTGACTAGATCGTCATAAAATAATGAAATCGGTAGATTAATAAATAATAGTATTGTTGATACAACTTTTTAATTTCACGCGTGAAATGGAAACAACATATTGTACAAGTTATAAATTTTTTATTTTCCATGTTTCGTCACTCTTTATTCTCCCTTTTTTATTTCAAAATGTTTCATTATTTCTGTGATAATATACAAAATATGCCTGTATGTCTAACAAAAAAATTACAATGGAAAATAAAACTAACAATCAAATTTTTTAGCATTGAATTTTTTCTGTAATTGATAGTTAAATCTTACGGGTAATTCTTATTGTTTGCCTTACATATTATTAGTTCAGAAACTGTTGTTAACATTTTAATACCACTAATATAATACTTACGATGCATGTCAACTTTTTATTGATAATGAACACGAGACATTAATTATTCTATCACTGGCTTATATAGGTACATGATATGCTTTAATAAATGTTTAAGAGTACCGTAGGTACATTATTTTTACGAAGTTGCAAGGTATTATGAGTAAATATGGGTAGTATGACAAAGTTGAGTTTTAGTAAATAGCAATTCCATTCGAAATGCATTAAAATCTGAGTAGAATCTCAAACATGTGAGTGTCTAGTCTCGTTTTTTGAGAATTGGTGAGTACCAACTCAGAATGAGTAAGGCTATCTACTGGGACTACTGAGTCTCTATATTCAAAAATTGCGGGCTCCGTACAGCAAAATTAACTCAAACATGGAAGTGTCTCCTCTCGTTTCTTGAGAATCTACTCGAGCCTTTAGTATCTACTCAGAATGAGTGAGACTATCTACTGTCATTACTAAATGCCCACATTTAAAAAAATAGGGGGCTCCATTAGCAGTCTTAACTCAAACATGCAAGTGTCTTCTTTCGTTTTTTGAGAATCTACTTGGTCCTTGAGGACCTACTCAGAATGAGTGAGACTATCTACTGTCATTACTGAATGCTCACATTTAAAAAATAGGGGGCACCATTAGCACTCTTAACTCAAACATGGAAGGGTTTTCTTTCATTTTTTGAGAATCTATTTCATCCTTGAGGACCTACTCAGAATGAGTGAAACTATCTACTGTCATTACTGAATGCTCACATTTAAAAAATAGGGGGCACCATTAGCACTCTTAACTCAAACATGGAAGGGTTTTCTTTCATTTTTTGAGAATCTATTTCATCCTTGAGGACCTACTCAGAATGAGTGAAACTATCTACTGTCATTACTGAATGCTCACATTTAAAAAATAGGGGGCACCATTAGCACTCTAAACTCAAACATGGAAGGGTTTTCTTTCATTTTTTGAGAATCTATTTGATCCTTGAGGACCTACTCAGAATGAGTGAGACTATTTACTGTCATTACTGAATGATCACATTTAAAAAATAGGGGGCTCTATTAGCATTCTTAATTCAAACATGGAAGGGTTTTCTTTCATTTTTTGAGAATCTATTTGATCCTTGAGGACCTACTCAGAATGAGTGAAACTATCTACTGTCATTACTGAATGCCCACATTCAAAAAATAAAGGGCTCCATTAGCACTCTTAATTCAAATATGGAAGGGTTTTCGATATTTTTTTGAGAATCTATTTGATCCTTGGGGACCTACTCAGAATGAGTGGAACTATCTACTGTCATTACTGAATGCCCACATTCAAAAAATAAAGGGCTCTCTTAATTCAAATATGGAAGGGTTTTCGATATTTTTTTGAGAATCTATTTGATCCTTGGGGACCTACTCAGAATGAGTGGGACTATCTACTGTCATTACTGAATGCCCACATTCAAAAAATAAAGGGCTCCATTAGCACTCTTAACTCAAACATGGAGGTGTCTTCTTTCGTCTTTTGAGAATTTACTTGAATGAGTGAGACTATCTACTGGCACTGTTGAGTGCCTAGGTTCAAGAATGGAGAGCTACATGTACCAGACTTAATTCCTCAAGACACTCACATATTTGAGATTTTACTTATACTTTTATTCGTTTCAAATGGTATGATCACTAAGCACTCAACTTCATGCATACCAGCCAATAAGTAAATAACAACCGAAATCAACAAAGGGGGAAGGAAATGACTTAACCCTTCTTGTATAAACGCGTGGATTATTTCAATAATTTATAATTCTTTGTGGGCATGTACTATTATTTGAAAAGTCAGTAATACAGTGTATTTATCTGTATATACAAGTGGGTAACAGAATTTGGTATTGTATTCCAGTAAAGTGGTAGCAGACTGGCACAATAAGGGTGTGAGGGTAGTTGCATGGACTGTAAACCATCCGGTAGAGAAACAGTACTTTTCAAAAGTTTTAAAAATAACATATATGACTGATACTTTGACTGGAGAAAATTCCGTTCACTTCCCTAACTAATAGGGTAAATATTTTTTACGAACTATTAAAGTAATTTTTCGTAGCAAAAACAAAATGGCTATTAATAAGATTTATTACGTAATTTGCAGGTCATAGTGGTGGCGAGGTGAGTGGTAACGTAAAAAATTGCAAGTGTACAAATTAGATTTTTAATAATAAAGAAATTAAGTATATTTTATAAAACAAGTAATAAGTGCACATTTTATTAAAAAACAAAATACGTGTAACGGATAATTTTAAATGATTCATATGCGCCAGTTATTAACGAGAGTAAAAAGTGTAGGCAGCTTTTATAAGTAATTAGTGCATTTTTTTTTATATAATTGTGTTGGCTGAAATTTTTACCTGATTATGTTGTATTACATGCTTGCCAAGTAGAACAAACCATTTTATCAATTTTCCTATTCGTTTTATTACCGTACTGCCATTGTTTGCCAATTTGTTGAATTATATTTGAGTTTTTAAGAAGTTTCTTTACGTTATTATATTTTGATGCAATTTTAATAGTAGATAAGTTATATTAATAGGTCTAGCAATATTATACAGTACGAGGCATTTTTCCAAATATATTTTTTTGTTGATTAGAAAGTCGACTTTCTGCAACTTCAATACTGAAAGGGGACGAAAAAACTAGAAAAAATATTGAAACAGTTTATGTATCAAGTAGCAATTTGTCCCCTCTCAGTAAGGGTTATAATTTTGCATTTGATAATTTTAATAATTTAACTGTAGGGAACCATTAGGTAGCATTTCCTTACCTATAAGCGTATAATTTTTATTTATCTATACCTTACGTATTGTTACGTACCTTTATAAAATGTTACCTTATTTTAGTTGCATTGTAAAGCAGTGGAGTGTCGTATTTTGACTATTATTTAAAGTAATGATTAATAGTTTTAATAAGGCACATAAATATATTTTCCACATAATGTAGAATGTTTTTTGTAATATTCAAAACATTTAAATATATAAGAAATAATTTTTATTTTTCTTGTTTTATTGCTAATTTTATGTTCCTTTTTCACATATTAATAATTGTAATATATAAAATTCGTATGGACATCGTAAAATTGTTTTGTAAATTCGTTTTCTGTAAGTTACCTTTTTTACGTAAACAAGTGAGAAAAGCTAGCCTATTTTTAGTCGACGAAGGGCCAAAAAATGGTGTGTGCAGAAGTGGAATGTTTCGTTGTTTTACTTTCACTTCTCTGATTGGCTGTTGGCTAATATTCGCTTGTTTTACCATTGCAGAGGATAGTATGCTGTGCATTTATTTGGCCATTATTAGAACGTGTTATTTGCGGTTCTAATGTAGTAGGAAATTTATTCGGTTTTACAGTAGCGCGAGTGGTTAAATTATTTATTACGCATTTTACAAGTATCGCGTGGACATTAATGTTTTATTTTGTGGACAAATGGAGAGTTTGATTGAAAATATTATAAAGGTGACTATTTCTTGAAGGATACAAACAAGTGTAAAAGTTTTGCCCGTGTCTTTTCCTAAGGAGGAGGAGGGGTAGTCTTATGTGACTTAAGAATGTGCGTATGTAATATCCGAATGTCTTATTAATTATGGTTGCGTGTAAATGTACAATTCGGTGATTTGTTTTTCGTAAAAGTTTTAAAAGAAACTTAGGTACTTCCTGTTAAGTGTATTTTCAGAATAGAGAAGCTTTGCGAAAGACTGCAAGATGGGGGTAAGTCAAAGTATTCTGTTGATTTTTGTGACAATTTGTTTTAAATGTTTTTCCACTAAAATTAAACTAGCAGCTGCTAAAGTTATGCGATAATAAGCGGTGGAATATGTGATAAGAAATAAAAATTGTATTATAGAGGATTTCGATGGCTCGCTACCCAAATCACACAATGATTTTACTTAATCCGTTCCATTGTAAACGTATTCCATTTTTTGCACTAAATGTATATGTACATATGTATACACGATAGTAGTTAGTGAAATGCTAATCTTCAAGACTTGGAACATTTCCGCTTACAAATTTAATGAAAATCACTGTATTTTTGTGACTAGGATATCGGGACCATTAATATAATAAGTATACATGAATATGCGCAACATATTGAAACACTTTCCGAAAAGAATTGCTGTTAAGTGTAATCGTTGATAAATTGACAATTAAGATGATATAATGGGCTTTGCATATTATATGTAATCCCTTAAGAGCATCTTTCCTTATTAGGAGTTTGAAAATATAAATAGGAACAAGATGATAACAAAATATTCATCATCATAAGGTAGTCAGTCCTAGGATTGGTTGGACACGCACCTCCACTCTTTCTTATCCTGAGGTAATCTTCGCATTTCCCTAAAACTAGAACATTCTACATCCTTAACTATTTGCGAACATTAATCTAATCTAGGTCTACCTGTAATATGTCTCCGGCTAGCCCTTCATGTCTGAGAAGGTGTCTTACCAACCTATTTCGTCTATTTTTTATTGACTTTCTTGGAGTCCTCTGTTCTCCTGTTTTTTCCAATACCTCTTCATTTCTAACCTCTATCCAGGGTATTCTCTTTATTCGCCTGTAACACCACATTTCGAACGCTTTTAACCTTTTCTTTTCCCTCGCGCCCACCTTCCAGCAAAAAATTAAACCGATGAAAAAGAAAATTAGAAACTTTCTTAGTCTTAATAACGAACTGTACGTATCTAAACTAATGTAAGTAACTAATTTTGAGTTGACGCCTCATGAGGTATTGTTATTGTTTTTCGTTGGAAATTTCACGTTACAATTTCTGTCGCCTGTTGATATATCAAGTTTAAATTAATGACAAATTTATTACCCCTTTTGTATGATTTTGTCACCTTACTGACTTAACGTTTATTAATATTATATGTTCTGTTTAATGGTTTCAATTCAACCCTTTCGTTGAAAATCCGCAACCATGAATTAAAATTTCATTAGTTTAGCGTTTAACGACTTTTTGAATGATTCTTAATGTGCATTGAGACTCAAAATTGTGTAGTAACTTGCATTTGTTGTGGAGCTTACGTATTATTAAAAAAGATTTATTTTAATTTTATTTTTCGCTTTTCAGATTCTCCTTGGTCGGTTTAATTTTTTGTTAGAAATGTTATATTTTTTGTGGTACAGGTAAAAATTAAAGTAAAAAGCCAATCGTCCCTTATTTTTCTAACATTAGGGGTGAGATTCTTTTCAAATTTAAATGGGACCAACTTCGACGTATTCTTCACTCGATACAAAAATAATGATCAGAATTGAAGAATCCAGTACAAAATTATGAGTGGTATAATCAGGTAAAAATTCAATTGGTGAACACCCAATTTTTCTACCCTTAAGGGTGGATTTATTTTTAATTTAAATAGACCAACTTAGAGGCGTACCTTATCAAATAAAAAAGTATGATCAAAGTCGGACTACTCTGTAAAAAGTTATGCGCTAATAATATAGTAGGTAATACTGTTATTTATTAAATACAATAATTCTAAAATCCCTATTAGAACTATTTACAAAAGTAAAAATTATAAAATCTCTTTAATATGATGACGATGCTTCACTACATAGTATAAAACAATGTCGCTTCCCGCTGTCTGTCCATATGTATACTTAGATCTTTAAAACTACGCAGCAGATTTTGATGCGATAGAGTAATTCAAGAGGAAGGTTTATATGTATAATACATACATGATATAGTAGAGAAACACTGATAATTTTAGAGGTTTGTAATGTGATGTCGTAAATAAACGTATTTTTTGCGCTTAGATTGCAAACGCTGGTTGAACCCTACGAGATAGATCAAAATAATGTACTACAGTATTGTATACCTTAAAAAGGTGTACAAAAAAGTCCAGGACGGTATATGTCTATCTGTTAGGGATAACCCACAATAACCATTTTGTATCCTTTACTTTTTACGAGAAATAATGGCTTATTTACGAAGCGATTTTAAGCAATACAGCATTAATCCTTATCCAATTAAGTACTTTTAAATACATTGTGCATTCAATATAGATCAATATGGCCCTTTACGGCATGTAATTTAAATGAATATTTTCGAAGATATTACAGATTTAAAATGCGGGGACATAGCGGTTGCGGCGGTACCAACCGGTTTGTATTGTTTAATGACAAAAAAGCTGTGACTGTTGTATATAAAGACATTCTGTAATATATTTAGTATCAGCATTGCACCCGTGCGAAGCTGGGGCGGGTCGCTAGTTTACATTTAAAAAGTAGAAATCTTTAATAGTAAGAGGAATATTAAATACTACGATTTAATAGTTCAGCTTAAAAAGGATTAGGAACGATAAAAAATAAAAACCGTAAATGATGTAGGTTGCTCTAGTTTTCATGACATTGATGATGAACAGAACTGATATAATTACCTGTTACAAAGGCCATTGTCATACTGTTAACGACCCTATCCTTTACGTCCCTTTATTTCATTTTTGATTTACTTTAATTAAAAACGAATACTATACGTATTGGCTTCATAGAATGATCGTGAGATTTATTATAAATTTTTCTGTATTCTTGACAGGTAGTTTACAGTTACCTAAGTAAACAGTTTTAGGTATTTTAATTGATTTAATTTTAATTTACAGTTATGTTATATCACTTTTTCTATACATATTATTGTATTTGATAACGATTTAATTACAGTAATTGTTATTTGATTAATTGCATGATGCCAGTTGAATTCTATTGTTTTAAATTAATACGTACCACAATTTTGTTTACATTGTAATTTTTCAGAAAAAAAAACCGGAGATTGTGTCTTACGTACAGTGGAATTCGTTTATTATGACTCCGCTTATATTGACTAACCGCTTAATATGAAGTAATTGCAGTGTTAAGTTTGGCTTTCATGTTAAATTCTCTGTAAGAAAGTTTGGATATAATAACTCCGTTTAAAATGACATATCGTTTATTATGACTGATATTGTAGAAATCATATCCGGCTATAGTGACACAAATGATTAATAATAACATTTCGGCTCATTTTTCTGACCCTTCTTATGTATATTGATATTACAATTCATCGTTCTTTTTCTGTTAATAAATATATACAATTTGTAGTTTTTCTCTTTTTTAAACTAAATAGCCAAAATAAAATGCTTTGTATGACGCCCACTTAGTATGACGTGTTTGTCATTTTCCTTCGATGTCAT